AGACTATTCTTTTTCCAGTGACTTAAGGGTGTAAGTGGCACAACCTCCAAATGCTATTGACTATACGCCAAAAAACCCATTTGTTTTCATGTGATCCACTTTGCTCCCATGCTTTTAGAGTTGTTAGATATGTAAGTTCAGCTTGTGCAGCTCTCCCACAGCTCTTTGGGCCAGGACACAATGGTTATGCTAGCTCTGCCTTCCCAGGAGCAGTCTGTCTAAAAGTCAAGATGTAGGTCTCTGGTTTAAGCAAGAAGTCTGGTAGCACCCTTCAGTAGGGGGCTGTGGCAATATGTGGCTGTTTCTCAGAACAGCCATCTCATCTCTCTCACCGGTGTGAGCAGCTGCTTTCAGTGGGTATCACTTATTTTCCACTGTTCTTCATGAACTTCCTCTTGGGAATTGTTCCCCTTCCCACAAAAGCAGCTTCATCCAGCAGATGTTTAGTGGCACTAATTTAACCATGCTGAGCTGCAATTCGGGAAAACGTTCAGTTTGTTTCCCATAGTTTTGTTTCTGCAGCAAGCCAGAGACTACGTACATCACTGTTGAAGGGAACAGCAGACCTATCATCACCTAAGGTTGCTTTCCTGTCTATAAGAATAGAAAGAAGGAAGAAAGGAAAAAAAGAGGGGGGGGGGGAAAAAGCCACACCAAGGCTGAACCAATACTTTGAAACTTAACCATGCCTTTTAGTAGCTGCAAAACACTTAATTAGCCTCAGTGAGTGTAGTAGTGTAGCTTACCACCCATGCTTTCACTTCATTTCAAGACCCTGGGTTAGTTCCAGTCCTTTTTCAGCAGCTGTTACTATTTTCCAAAGCTGCCTTCTGTTCAGCTTTCCCAGGGGAACTCTGCCAAGGATAAGATTCCCATTTCCATTGCTTTTCTCTGTAACTACCCCCTCCTCCCTTTAGTCTAGAGTTCCATTGGTTCTACAGTTAATACATTATTCATTAATAAAAAAATGATATTTGATCAAGCTATGGAAAATAAAAGTGAAAAATGCTGGTTTGGACAGTTTAAAAACCATATTAATTATACCAAGTGTCCAGTATACTTCTGTAGCAGTAGCTCACTTAAGGAGTCTGGGTTAATGTCACTGAGGCAGCTTGAATTCTTGGTTGGTCTAAATTGAAGTAAAATACAAAAAATGAGGCTTTCCTCAGTACCCAGGACCTTTTCCTTCTGACTCTGTGAAGGCTGTACAGGAACAAATAAAGAGGGGGGGAGGAGGTAAAGCTTGCAGACTGAGCAAGCTGGACAATGTACACACAACTATTTATCCAGCTGCAAATAAAAACATTGCTACTTCTGATTTGAGTAACACTGAGAAAGTGAGGAAACTATGAAAATGAAGTTCATGCTTTTAACACCTTCTGCCACCTGATACTGAAATCGGCGTTTGAAACTCCAAGGCTTCTGGCACCTGACTCTTGGAAGTTGCTGGTAAATGCATTCCCTATTTTATCCATGTTTTAGGATAAGAGGATCATCACCTTCTAGCTGTGGTTCTAGTCCACTGAACATTACCAGTACACCGCCACCTGACACATCCTCCCCCGGAGGCAAGAAGGTAAGAACAAGCTTTACAAACACTCTTGCAGCAGCAGTGGCAAGCAACACAAGGTCATGCTTATAAAATGATATGTGGTGTTGAACAACTCCTGGCTGCTTGGCTGAGAACGTCTGACAGTGAGTCAGAGCATTCTGGTTGCCAAAATCCCTTTACAGTAGTCCCTCAACTGCAGAGACCAGTAGTTCTTAAACACTGGCAGCTTTTGAAATCCACCTGCTCTTTAGATTTTAACTTTTTTTTTTTTTAACAGAGCTGCAGGAAACAGCTCTGCTCAGATCTCTTGATCCTCCAAAAACTCTTTACCTCCACATACTGGTGAACACTGGAATTGCTACCGTTTGAGCACTGACTGTGTTTAAATGAATCACGACAGTTTTACTGTACTGCTGTAGCACAAAATATGACAATTTGATGCTTTATTGTGCGCTGACAGTTTATTTTTAAATCAATACCATGTACCATGTGTTGTTCTAAGATTGCTTGAGTAGCGCTCACGTACCATTACCAACACTTAACTACCAGAACACTTACACTGGCTGCATTTAAGCCATCTAGTAAATTGCTGCTTATAGTAGTTATATTCAAGGCAAGAAGAGCACTTATCCGAATCCTTATTCTGTGCATTTGAACACTGCCTCAGACTTAGCTGTCCCCAGAAATTATGATGGCTATGTGTAAGAATTGTTTGCACTGGAGCATATAGCTGACAGTAAATTTTGTGTCTGTTCCTGGCTTACTTTGTTCTTGAAATAAAAAGTTGGAACAAACTGAGTTGTAGTTCTAGGAATAGAAATTCTTGCTCTTTCTGCCCCACAGTAATTCAATACCTACGTACAGTAAGGGCTCCTGTAACAGAATAAAGGCAAATACACATGGAGAATTGTGTATTTCTAAATAGGGTACCCCCTTAATATTTCTTCTAGAAGACTCCGCTTGCTAGAAACAACCCATGCTCCAGCTGATGCTACCTTCAGAAAGGAGCTCACAAAAGTACTTCCCTTCCCCTGTACGTACTTCTGAGCAGTTCAAAACTATGGTTCCAGTTCAGATATTCCCTCGCTATTTAAGAATCCCGGAGAAGGTTCTTCATTTCTGCTGAACTCTGGTGTACCCAAGTACCACTGTGCTGCTCTGTACCAAAAGATGGTCCAGGAGCAGTGCTTGACTCATGCAGTCTGGCTTACCTGGGAGGATTATACTCCTAAAATGAAGAACCTTAGTTGGCAGTACTTTACATACCCTGTATTTGCAAATTCAGAAGCGTTCTGTGGTTAGCTGTAATTGGAATACTCAAAAGATGACCCACAGAAATCCCGAGGACCTTTTCTAGTAGTTTTTCAGAAGTTATCTTCAGAACTTTGTAGCATATAGTGCTGACTTGATCTCTTTCTGGTAGTGATATGCTTCCATCTTACATCTGCTTGATGGGCACAGAGGAAGTAGTTCCTAGTTTATGACTGTGCCTGATTAGCTAGCCTTTAGGTGGTGTAGTTTGGCTTTGGTTTCAGGGTTGGTTTTTTTTTTTTCAGGAATTCCATCTACCCTATATTAAAAATCCCAATATAGGACAATTTAAGACTTAATGCAACATTTCACACCTTTTTATGGCTTCTGTTTTTTCTTTCAAGATCTTGAATGGTGGCACGCCAGACATTTCTTCAGCTGGGTTACTGTCTGGGCAAATCCAAGATAACTCTGGTTACCCATATTCTGACAACTCCTCTATTCTTGGTAAGTGAAGTCACACTACCCTGCCTCAATACCAACTAAACACACACACAGACAACTGTAACGAGATGACTGTTTTTAGCAATAACTTGCTTTCGCCATCTGCAGGCTACAGGTGAGGCATAAAGCCCATAACCTACCACTCTGATGCTCAAAGGGGTGGCTACAAGAGCAGCCTGGCAGCCTCTTCCACTAGCTTATTTTACATTGTAATTCTCTTTAGACAGCACTTGGAGGCCTCTCTTCTCTTGCTGAATCAGTGTGAATTAGCTGAACTCCTCACCTGCTGTTTGTGAATGCTTTTAAACAGCTGGCCATAAGGAGAAAGGCTAAGGCTGACTCCTAGCTGTTGATCTAGACTTATTTTTGAAGTGCAATGTGTCATCCAACATTATTAGGCATACTGGTCATTGCTGAGAAGTGACCTAACCTTTCTACTCTGACACCCAGGTACCAGTGGTATCCCTGATGTGGTGGCAACTTGGCTACCAAACAGACTGAGGCTCCTCAAACTGTTCGGGTGTTCTACTTCAAGTCATAGGGCAAGTGCCCATAGCAAGTAAAGTGAACAAAAAGAAACCGAATTTCTGACATGCTACTGTATTTATGCTTGCAGGGGAGAACTCTCATATAGGCATCGACGTGATCGACAACGATCAAGGATCAAGCAGCCCTAGCAATGATGAAGCAGCAATGGCAGTAATAATGAGCCTTCTCGAAGCAGATGCAGGTCTCGGTGGCCCTGTAGACTTCAGTGATTTGCCATGGCCCTTGTAAATGATGCACCTGGCTTCAACATCCAAATATCAAAGTGCAGTTATTGGTGGAGTTCTCCAGTCTGTGACACTTGTTGGACTGAGAAGCTTTTATGTATGAATTTCATAAAAGCTGTATCAGAATGCAACTCATCCTACCATGTGTAACTTCAGACAAAGTGAATAACCTGCTACAGTGTTCTGTGTTGATTTGGTTAGCTGTGTATAGCTTGCAATACTTGTATATTTTGGATTCTGTTGTTTTGTTTGAAATTTTTTTTAAAATCACTGTGCAACTCACTGGCATCAGTGGTAGCTTTTATATGCAAATGACCATTTCAGATGTATGGTGTGTTTTTACACTGCAAAACAGTCCCCATGTGGATATTTCTTATACTAATTGTACCATAAAGCTGTTTATTCTTTCTTGTAAGAATCCTTTACTATAAATATTGTTAAAGTGTAATGTATTAGACAGTTAAATATTTTTAAAATAAATGTTTCCCTTGTTCTAAGATGGAGCATTTACTTTGATAAATAAATTTGATAAAACCCTGCTGAAGATGCATGCCAGAAGCAGTTGCCTCTTTATCATTTCTTTAGCCTTGGGGGTGGGTGGGAAAGGAGGAGGAAAAACAATGCCTTACCTCTACTTACAAGAGTTTGTTGCCACAAAAAATTTCTAGAGAGGCTCCTAGATTCAAGTTTATACTAGGAAAAAAACAACATGAGGGAGGTTAAGATAGTCTGACATCACTACCAGATTTCTCTTTTAAGAAATATGTGGTTTTCACTTATGATCCATCCCTCCCTAAGGAAAGAAAAGCAACTACTTTCAAACTTCACCCATACATACTTGATCTTATTCACAGATAATTCAAACCCATTAAAATAATGGAAACTTTATTTGCATGAAAAACTTGTTTACAATCATTAATAAATGAAGAATGAACCATTTGCATTTCCTATTTTGTGACACTTATGAAAAATGTATTAAATAAATATTTGTGAACAGATTAAGGTAAGGCAAAATTTAAGATAAAGCCCCTCTGCATTGTTCACAATTTTTGAACATGGCTCACGCTGCAAACAAGTGAAAAAATTCACTAAAGAACTCTGAGTTCAACAAGATGTTACATGGGTAATTGAATCATGTCCTCAATCCAAAAACCCAAGAGTAAGTAGTTTTGTGCTCAACCATATACAGTAACTTTAAAAGGGTCAATCTATTCAGAGCAAAACTATTTACAGTTAATACTTTTGATAGAAGCACTTTGTTAGTATTGTGCAACACATTTATAAAAAATGGCTTCAAATTCCATTTCGCAACCCTTTATAAAGTGCTACTATCAATTCCAATTCTGCGTTCTAACCCCCATGTACCAATGCTGATGCACAACTAGCCACCAGCATCCCATTGCTTTTGGTGGGCTTCAGAGTGAGGACAGTCCAGCATACAAGTCACCAATGTCACAAACCTACTGGTAAACACATACACGTATGTAACCGTAACCCCGGGACCTTTGATCTGTACTCTCTCAAAAACAATTGGGTACTCCCCTCCCTGTGGTCTTTTCCAAGGTCGGTACTGCAATATCCTAAACACTGTTACACAATGGAAAAAACTGGACTTGCAGTGTAGTATGAGCTGAGTACAGAGTCACTTTAAAGTAGCATGCTTTTGTTTTCCTAAGAGTCTGGATCAGAGGGGCGGGTTTTGTCCCTCGGTATCCACCTCGCTGTTGCTGGGCGGGGGATGAATAGGCAGAATATCCAGCTCATCCACCTGGGGGGTAGGATGCATTACCACCAGCTGGTCCTGGGGTATGTCTGCTGCCGCCGCTGCCAGATTTGTGATGGATTTGCTTTTCACACACTGAAAGTCAACATGCCGGCTCTTTCCTTCCTCCTTCTCCCACGACATCCGAATAAACGGTCTCTGGACATAGTTGTAAATCACCTCCGGCCTTCCGCCCGGCCGCTTTTTCACTTTCTCTTTGTATGTAGGGTAACCTAAGAAACAGAGTTAATATTTCCTGTACTGGTTACTTCAGGGTTTTCTTTTTATAAAAAGGCAGCATGGGAAAGCACAGTGAAGATCAGCTGTCATCCCCACCAACATCCTAAATGGAAACGGATGCCATTGTGTTGTCCTTAACATTATCTATACAAGGAGAACGCACAGTCAGCAGTTTAACTACCAACCAAATTGTAAGGAAAGAGGCTACACTGCTATCAGTAACAAATATATCGCCACAGGACAACTCTTCCAGAGTTCACAGGCAGAGCTAGCTGCTCCTTGAGCCAAAAGCAGCCAGCTGTCTCTAAAACACAATGACCTGGACAGCAGGAAATGAGATCTCAAGAAAGAGGACAGCAACGCTCCCAGCTGTGGCTTAAGGTCACAAGTGAGATCCCCCTGCATTCCTCTCAGCTCCCCCAAATGATGAAAATACATTGGTTTAGCCCAATTATCAATTCTGGTTATGCTGTGTTTGAGCCATCTCTCCCCTCTGCCTAAGCAATAATTTTCATTACTAGAAAAAGTTACATGCTATTATGGGGCACTAGCATTAAAGTGTAGTCAAACAGTTGTTCTTTGTCTCAAACAAGAAATGCCAGCAGAAATAATTGGGTATTAGCCAGTGTTACACACAAAACCAGTTCTTGTTTAGTCAAAGGCTCACGCCTTGTTCAGCTGGACTGACTGACTTATTTTAGAGATCACAAGCAGTTAAAAGCATTTGCTTTTGGATGGCAAATGACAAAAATGTAACTATGACAACGTGGGGAGTGAAGGATAGAAATCCTGCAAATTATAAAGACTGGGCTTTTAAATATTTAGGTCAACAACCAGAAGGAAAACGAAGTGCAAAGAAACCCAGCTGTTACATTCATGATAAAAATCTACAACTATTTAATGTAGTTGTCTCTTGCAAAGCCAGAGCTGAGATTTTACAGATCAGCCTCCTGAATCACAGGATGTTTATTTCACATTAGTATTTCTTTGCAATTCAATGATCCATTCAATAGATTTGCATTTGCTGAAAGAAAATATTTACCTGCAACTTAACATGAGGTTTTTTTTCATTTCAAGCCCCAAAAAGGGCACCAGACCAAGAACACAATATAGAAAGCTGTAAAAACACATCATTACTTCAAATAAAGTACAGAGAAGATTTTGTGTGAAAACTAAAGGGCAGATGGCACGCGATGCAAGTCCTAAGTCAGTAGAAACCACCTAAGTGACTCTGCAAACAGTCCAGCAGATAGACACATCTTGTAGACCCCTCATGAAGCTGTAGTCAGGTTTTCTAGCTGGACCAGTTATTGATTGGGTACCGCTCTACCTCTGGCCATTTTATCATCTAACCTCGGTATGAACGACAATACCAACCCTTATTTCTTCAGCTGCAGAGACGATCATAAAGCAGACAAGTGCAGCTGACCTCTTTCCCCTCAAAGAGTTAGCAATGCTTCTCTTACCTTCAATGCCCAGTCGGATCTTCTTGAGCCCCCTTTCCTTCAGAACTGATTTAGCCACATCTCGATTTTCAATGTATTTGAAGAATCTATACAACTTCGTGCTGTAAATAACTAAAAATACATCTTAATAAGCAAAAACTGCACAAGATTCATCTTTTCCACTGTTTTGCTTTACTCTATTATTTCTCTTTCAGAACTGGGAGGAAAGAGACTAAAGAACTCCTCAAAATACCCAAAACAGAAATCAGAGAAAAATGGCTGGAGGGATGGTGAAATGGGCTGGTTGCACATGGCTTTTTCCCTAGCAATTTAGTCTGTTTTATACACTTCGGGGGGTTTTGTTGGATTGAGGAACGCAATAGGACAATTCACAGAGCAAACCATACTATACACTCACAACCCCACCTCCACAAAGAAAAGACATCTCCATTTTTTTCCCTTTTTGATGGAAACATCGCAGACATTAAAAAAATCTTTCCATTCTGCTTTCCATTATGCAAGAGATCTCCAAATCAGTTTCAGGAACCCAGACTTGTGAAGCAGAACAGGAGGGACACCTTTGCAATTTTGATTATAGCACCTTAAAAGAAAGGACCAGGGACATCAATCCCTTGCAGCTGCAGAGATCCAAATCAATTGTTCATGAAAAGTATAAATGTAAAAGGCAAATGCGTGCTGAACTAATTACTTAGGGTAGGGGGTATTTTTAGTTGACATCTTTGAGACTTAAAGGTCCTAGAAACCTGAGCCAATTTTGTCACTGCATTAGAACTGGCGCATTTGATCTATATTCTTTACAAAGGGTGTTTTGTTTCTTTAGTTAAAAACAAAACCACAAAAAAAAAAAAAAGTAATACTTTGAAGAGATGTCTAAGAAGATTTTATACTACTGGAGTACAAAGAGTATCTCAAGCTCCTCCATGCCCCCACAAAACCCTAAATTTCAAGTTTTCACACTGAAAGAACATTTTCAGCTACCAGGACAGCACTGATGCAGGGAAGGTCACACCATTCACAGGTGCTTTTAACTCACCTATACACCAGACTCTTATACTTCCAAAAAACTAAAACAGACACTTTTCTTCCCCCCAGAAAAACCCTCCAGTTTTTCTCCTACAGTAAACATGACTCCCGTTCATGTTACTCATCCAGCTCTTTGCGAAAAAGTATTTCCTTGCCCCTCATTGACTGATTATATCTTAATAAAAATTACCTTCTCTTTTTAATTAGACTGGAATATAGCATGCAAAATATGCTTCTGTGAAGCAGAGTATTAACCAGAACTACCAAAACTAAGCTTTTGTGAGGCATTAGGGATGTTGAAAAGACTTTGCTAACAGCACTTATGTACAGATAAGCTAAATAAGCGCATTTACTGCTACCTCTACCATAGCATGGCTTGGTGGAAACAATGAAAATAAACTTACTTTGTGAATACTCCTCTCCCATTTGTGGAGGATACTCTTCATCCCAGTCAACAACATCATCATCTGTCAGCACAACAATGTGGCACTCCCTCTCACCACTTTGGGCACTGGCTACCATTAATGGGAGAATCATTTCTTCTAGATAAAATTCAAATTGTTTGCGAGCACCATCATTTGACAATTCATGCATGAGAGCACCTGGAACAAAATTTTAAGCATAGGCACATTTGAAAGCTTGCTAAAGAAATGAAGGCAGGAATAAGAAACATGTCAATTCTGTTTATTTTGTACTATTTACTGCAGACAGCTGTAAAGACAGTCTATCAGTTTGTATAAGATCAGAACTTTTTTCAAAGGTTTACCAGAAGCCACACCAGAAGTTCAAACTAATAGGTCTGTCTTGCAGATCTTAACATTATGTCGGGCAGACAGTGGAGTGACCTCCTTCATGTTTTACTACTGCTAAACATTGGGGTAATTGTGTGTAAGACTCCTCTTGGGCTTCCTAAAAGAAACATTATTTAAGCCAGTTGCTGAAAGAGTAGAGCATGGAACCCCCTTTTCATAAGCAGTAGCTTAAAAACAAAGCCTCTCAAAGCCCTCACAGCATGAGCTGCTAAATCCTTCTGCTAAGGACAAAGTGCACGGAGAGTGTGACTCAGCAGGCGACAGGCTGTGAGGTCACAGCACTGCTGGTGAAGGCACAGGTGCCCCATGCAGATCTCACAGCTGGAATACCACAGCTCAGCCCTGTGCCGGGCTCTGCTCTGCACAAACACCACGAGATCACGGGAACCAAAGACACAGCCCAGGTCATCTAAACATTGGTCAAAACTTTGGCTGTGCTCAGGGAAGGAATGAGCCGAAGAGACACTACACACTGGGAACTATGATGCACCTTACACCACCAGCAAAGCTGTGTTACTTCTGTTAGCAACACAGCCCAATTCTCTTAAGCAAGGAGTTGAATGAATTATCTTCCCTCTCCTCTGCATAAAAGATACCACTTAATGTTACTGTATCTGCACTGCAAATGCATCAATAGTTTAAGTATTCCACAGAGCTGAACATAGCAGAAAAGTATCTGAGTATCAGATACTGAAATGTCATAGAATACTTTGGGGGTTGGAAGGGACCTTTAGAGGTCATCCAGTCCAACCCCCCTGCAGTGAGAGCAGGGACACCTTTAACCAGATCAGGTTGCTCAGAGCCCTGTCCAACCTGGTCTTGAATGTTTCCAGGGATGGGGCCTCCACTACCTCTCTGGGCAACCCATTCCAGTGTTTCACCACCCTCATTGTAAAGAATTTCTTCCTTAGATCCAGTCTAAACCTACCCTGTTTTAGTTTAAAACCATTACCCCTTGTCCTGTCACAGCAGAAACATTCTTTTTCAAACCGTGTACATCCATTGCCTTTGGAGCTGTACTACGTAAGAGATAACAAAGGATGGGTTTTGCTCATGTAGTATCCACCATGTTCCTTTACTTCAGTAAAGGATACAATTTGGAATTAGCCTCCCTCCATATATTTGCTTAGGTTAAGCCTGCATAAATAAAATTATTTTAATAAATTCCGTACTTACTAAGATCTCTGCATTTAATAGTACTATACTCAAAAGAGATACAGAGATAGTCACACGCTTCTCTTAATTCAGGAATAGATATCCCATCAGGGCAGCGTATCACTCCAGTCTTGTAGTAATCCTATAGTAATGCAGAAAAAAAAAAAAAAAAAAACCACAAACCCACAATGTACTTCAATATTCACTGACAGGAACATTTCATAATTTCATTTACGACTCTTTCTCCACAAGCAAACCCCCGAAAACATAAAAGAGCAACTTCATGAGTTTTACCGTCCTAAAATTTATCAATTTTCTGAGCTGCTTCCAGAGCAGTGAGCTCTGGTTAAAGTTGTTATTTAAGCGACAACTATTAACAATGATCATTTTGGTGCACATATACTGTCTTTTATCTATACTTCACTCAGCTTTTGCTACTCTGATTCTGCTGACAAAGCAGTATGGCAGATCTACTTCTCTGTGTAGATACGAAACACATTAGGGGCTGTTTTCTTCTCAGAGTGAAGGTTTTTTCTCCTTTTACCTGCACTGTTAACTTCCAGTGCTCCGTTTCATCTAATTTCAGCAAAAGAAGGCCTGAATATATCTGAACTAGGTGAACTAAATCCATAGGAGAAGGTGCACAAGTTTCTCGGAAGCAGTAGTTTTTTGGTTTATTTCAGGCATGCTTTCTCTCTCCCTGGCTGTCATATGCACATTATCAGAAAACCTAGGGGTGTTTTCAGATCAAACATTTTTTCCCCTCTAGAGAACAATACAGAAAAGCAGTATTTATTCCATCCACAAAGTCCAGATAGGCAAGTAAGGCTAAATCAAGAAGTTATGCCTCTTAATACTCATAGTGCTTGTCCTAACAGTACTTGCCCCTGCCTTTTTTTCCCCTCCATAAAGAAAACTCACCAGAATAGCACGAAACACAGTGGAACCAATTCCTTCAGCAACTTCATACTCTCCTTTTTCATTAGGACGTGTAAAGTTATGCTCTCTGCCTGATCCAAACATCCTGCTCAGGAATAAAAGTAATTTGGTTAGAATTCTTTACCATAGGGTTGGGAGGTTTTTTTGCAGATCTGAAAAGTAAAATGTCAAAAATGGTACTGAAATGACAGGGAAAAACCAGTCTGTTCTACCTCGTATGTATGCACTCTGTTCAGTTTGGTCTATGTTTAGCAAGACTACTAGAAAATAGAAAGCAGGGTAGCGTAACTCAGGAAAGTCTAGTGATATTCTTCAGTCTTAACTTGCCAATATTCTTTGATCAAACCAAAGGTTAGACCAGGCCATTTCCTGCCAGTGCCAAAGGTGGGGAGAACCTGAAACAAGTCTTTGGCGTTTGTGGGGTGATATAGCAGAAGAACAGGTTTTGCTGTGGAATTGTCATTATTTAAATACATTTGAGACATTTAAGAAACAGAACTTAACATTCAAGTACATGCAACTCCCTTCAATTTCATTTGAAAATCTAGTTAATTCAAAAGTTAAAATAACATTCTGATAGAAAATACCCATACTTAAGGGTAGTAGGTACAGCATATTTCTACCTGCAAGGATACAAGGACAGCTACAGTAAGAAGAAAACTACAATTCCCAAACAGTATCTACAGTAACCCATTAGATCAGCAGGCAAAAAAGCTGACT